TCCATTATATATATATTCCACCTCTTCTTTAGCCATTCATCAGTCAATGGACATTTGGGCTCTTTCTATAATTTGCTATCATTGATAATGCTGCTATAAACATCGTGGTGCGTGTATCCCTTCAAATCAATATTTCTGTACCGTTTGGGTAAACACCCAGTAGTACAATTGCTGGGTCATAGGGTAGTTCTATTTTTAACTTTTTGAGGAATGTCCATACTGTTATCCAGTGTGGCTGCACCAGTTTGCATTCCCACCAACAGCATAAGAGGTTTCCCCTTTCTCCACATCCTTGCCAACACCTGTTGTTTCATGTATTGTTAATTTTAGCCATTCTGACAGGTGTGAGATGATATCTTGTTTTTTTGATTTGTATTTTCCTGATGATCAGTGACATTGAGCATCTTTTCATATGTCTCTTAGCCATCTGTATGTCTTCTTAGGAAAAATGTCTGTTCATATCTTCTGCCCATTTTTTAATAAAATTTTATTGCCAATCTGTATAGTTCTATGCTAGGCACTAAGTGGATATTCTCATTTATTTTCAAGCACAAAAAATTTAAAAGTATTACCATTTCCATTTTATAGAGACTATAAATCAGAAAGACATAAAAAAAAAACCAACATGTTCAAGGTCACAAAATTAGAAAGTGGCACTGAGATTCAAGTCAGGTTTACCTGACTGCAGAGTGTACTACTCTGTAATACAACTGCAGCATTCTTGTGCAGGACACATTTTCGTATTTTGACATCTATTTGAAAACACATACCAAGTGTATTAAAAACACATTGCTATGCTTTGCAATTTAAAATTAAGTCTCTGGGGGTGCCTGGGTGGCTCAGTGGGTTAAAGCCTCTGCCTTTGGCTCGGGTCATGATCCTGGGGTCCTGGGATTGAGCCCCACATCGGGCTCTCTGCTCAGCGGGGAGTCTGCTTCCTCCCCTCTCTCTGCCTGCCTCTCAGCCTCCTTGTGATCTCTGTCAAATAAATAAATAAATAAATCTTAAAAAATAAAAAAATAATAAAATTAAGTCTCTGAATTCATAAATGATAGGATAAAAAAATAATGAAAAGGAGCCATAGCATTTGGGATAGAGTATAAAAGAGTAGTTTTAGCAACAGGGAAATCAAGGTGGAGGCTAATGCCTATGGTAAGTGTGTCTCAGCTGTGGGCATATAGAGACAAAGCAGGGAAAGGGAAACTTTGATGAGTTCTAGTCACATTACTCTTCTGAAAACTATAATATGGATAATAAAGAAAAGATTGTTATAAGCCAAAACGCAGTGTCTGTTCGTCTGCAATTGACATAGTTTTGCCAGGATTGCCTGAAGCCCAGCTGATTATGTAGGTAAGTGTAATCTCACAACCCAGTAAAAGAGCTAGGTACTTTTTTTTTTAAATATTTACCTCAAATACACTCACTTTTTGAAAGTCTCTGTCATGTCCCCCCTATCTATTTTCAAATACAGTGCTGCTTCTGATGAACTTTTGTAGTTGTGGCATAGTTTTCTGACATATTTTGAATCTCCTGAATCTTGAAATGTTCTTCTGTCTGAGAAGGGAAGTATCAGCTTAAATAGATATTGAAGTCATAATAAAACCTCCGTTTCTGCTAATTTTCTCCTTTTGTTTATCCTTGAAAGTGATTTATGTTCTTAAAGATTCTTACTCCTAGTGCAAAGGGATGTGTAAAGTAGCCTTACATCTCAGGCTGATTTCATGAGTGTTCAGAGTGTTCTGGTAGATATTTAGCTCATTTTAGGGGACCGGTTGAAACAGGGTCTCCTCCTTCTCCACCATCTTGCCCCTCCTGGCTCTAACGTAACCTTAACATTAAGTGTGGATAACATAGTCTTCATTACCCTGTTCTCTTTTACACTTAGCCTATTTGATGACTCCATGACTCCATTTTCTTTATAAGCACATACATTTTAGTTTTGAAGTTATGAAAAAGCATTAAGAAGATACATTTTTACTCATCTCCCATTTTTAAGTTTTAGAGTATATACGCACATGTCTGATATTCAAATAGTCTAAAGTATTACAATAATAAAACAAATGGTGGCCTTTGCCTACAGTTTAGAAATAAAGACAATTTGATAGGGAAAACTTTTTAGGCCATCTGCTTTCATTGGAGTTCTGAGTATGTGTATATATGAGTTCTGAGTATTTTTGAGGCCTTCCCTTAAATAATCAGTCATGGCAACAAAAGGCTAAGTAACCTAAGATTAATAGAGTCAATATTTGTTCTTCATTAACATGGATACCAACTGAAGTCTGAGCTTTAGCTATGGTATACTCTAAAAACTAAATTAAAGATGGAAATGTGGTGACTGGACCTCAGTTTTGGTAGAACTAGTCATTGTCACTAAATGATAAAGGATCTTGGATGTTATAGAAAACTCTCATTTTAAAGATGAGAATGACGTGATAAGGGCCTTGCAATTTAACTGGTGGCAGAATTTGAAGCTAAGTCATTTTCTGATTCCTTATGATATGAAAACCTAACTCTTTGCATGATATAGGAATAGAACTGTATAACTAAATCAACCAAGTCCCTCGCATTTGCACTCTGCCTTTCAACATTTTTAAGCCAAGAAGAAACAGAATCTTTACCCTAATAAACATATCAGAACTAATTTTTAAAAAATAAAGAAAATAGAGACACAATATAATCCTCCTTTGTTAAACTGTTGAAAATAGATATGGAAAACCAGATCATCAAAGATGTGTAACTTTAAGAGCAAAAGTCCTGTCCAAAAATATAGATTCTTATTAGTTGATTGGAAAAATCTCTTCAGTATAAATTTTTAGAGACTGTAATGGGCACTGCTAAATTGCCCTCCAAAAAAAGCACTACCAGTTTGTTCTACCAATTAGTGAGAGTTTCCTTACATCACAGATACTTGACATTATAAAAAACTTTTTAGTATTTTTTCTAATATAGTGCCCCCCAAATGTGTCATATCATTTTAATTGCATTTCACTGGTTACTGAATGTTAGCATCTTCTGTTTTTTTGGCCATTTGTGTTGCTTTCAGCTGTGAATTACTTGTAATGTATGCATTTCCCATTTTTCTATTGGGTTCTATGTCTTTTTCTTATTGGTTGGATATTGCTCCTTATTCTGTTACACACAGTGCAGATATTTTCTCCCGGTTTGTCATCTTGTTGTTCTTTATGTGCTTATGGTTTGTTTTGCCACACAACATTTTAGTTTTGCTATAGTCAATTGTGTCCCTCTTTTTTTAGGGTTTTTGCAAAATGTGGTATAAAGTTCATACTTATATCAGTTAGGATCTTATCAGGAAAGGGAAATCACATAGTTTAAAATATAAGTTTATAATTATAAAATATAAGTTTATAATTGACCAAACCAGGGGATCAGATAACAAGGGATTGGCTTCTGAGAGGTAAAAGACGCCTGGCAAATATAGGAATAGCAGCTATAAACAGCAAACGCTGAGATTGAGCCATCCACTTACACCACCCTACTCCACCCCACCTACTCCCCAGGCCTCAGAATCCAGATCTTGGTAGAAAGCCTTTGTTCTGGGGTGCCTGGGTGGCTCAGTGGGTTAAGCCTCTGCCTTCGGCTCAGGTCATGATCTCAGGATCCTGGGATCAAGCCCTGCGTAGGGCTCTCTGCTGAGCAGGGAGCCTGCTTCCCCCCCACACCCAGCCCCCTCCTCTCTGCCTACTTGTGATCTCTCTCTGTCAAATAAATAAATAAAATCTTGAAAAAAAAAAAAAAAAAGAAAGAAAGAAAGCCTTTCTTCACTGGATGGTAGAGAAGACACCCATGGTGTCCTGTCTGGACAATTTGCTGGAAATATATATTCCAGATTTGCAGGAAATTCACCCTCCAGTGTGCATGGGGAGGTATTTTGCCCAAGGGATTTGGCTATGAAACTCCCTTAGGGTAAGCTTAGGGCCGCTGCTGGCCACTGGGTGCTACTAGCTGCCATGCACTGCTGGAGCCCAGCACTGTGGAAACCATCTGTATACTAAAGAAACCCGAGTGTGCTATAGGATCCTGCAGAGAGGAGCCCAGGAAATCAGGAAGAGCTTCTTCCTTGTGATAGCTCTTCAGCACCCTCTACTGACAAAATTTAGTGATGCCACGTAGCAAAGGAGAAATATTTATTTTTATTTTTTTTTTTTTTAAAGATTATTTATTTATTTGACAGACAGAAATCACAAGTAGGCAGAGAGGCAGACAGAGAGAGAGGAGGAAGCAGGCTCCCCGCCAAGCAGAGAGCCCGATGCGGGACTCGATCCCAGGACCCTGAGATCATGACCTGAGCCAAAAGCAGAGGCTCAACCCCCTGAGCCACCCAGGCGCCCCAAAGGAGAAATATTTAAAGGCCTCAACTTCATTTTCTCTGGAGCAACAATGAAATGTGGATTTGGAGCCAAGGAGTAATAAAATAATAACCACAGCACTTTACTATACATGAATTATATTTTTGTGCATGATTTGGATAACCTTAAACTTTTTTATAAAGATAAAATTGGAAACAACATAAAGGCCCATCAATAAAGAAATGATTGAATATGCTGATAATTTCATACCACAGATTACTATAGAGCAAAAATTAGATGTGTATCTAGACATATTTACTGCTATTATAAGATCTCTGAATGATATTGCTGAATGAAAATTAACAAAATTTTAAACTATAAAGTAATACTAAGTATTACATATATACACACACATATCACATATTCAGAAGTAGAAATCCTCATAAGATTATTTTATTAGATTCTTATAATTAGCATAATTTATAAACCAACTCTAAAGCACCTCATATAATAACTTTGTTAGAAAGATCTTCATATAATTTTCTGTTCTCTTATTTCTGTTCTCTTGTTTATAAATGTCAGAGAAATAAAGCCTATCTCAGGTCAAATTGACTCAAATTTCAAATTAGTAAAATTCTTAGAACTTGTAACTTCATATAATAAAAATCTGTGGGGGGGGGTTGTTTCTTTTAGGCAGAGGTTGAAAAAATTATTGCAGGTGCCTGGTACATTTTTCAGCCCCTTCTCTTCGGACTGATTGGAGCAGAAGTATCTATTGCATCTCTCAGACCAGAAACTGTAGGTAAGAATTTCAAAATAGTACATTTGCTAAAATCAACTTTTATATTCAGTGGAATACCTTCAGTAGGTATAGTTATTATCATAATTGTATAAAAAGTTAATAATAATCTAAGTCTCTTAGAGCAGTTGGCCAGAAAATAATTCTTTTCAATCTCAGGCATAAATTTTATACCTTTAATGTTATTCCTTGTAAAGAAAAGTAACACTACTAACCACTATCCAGAAGATGCAGGTCTTAAAATTTTTTTCCAAGGATAAAAATGTTCAATTAGACTTGTTTTGATCAAGGGCCAGAATTATTCATCAGTTCTATAATATATATCCATGGAACAAAAATGTTTGTTCATTCATTCATTCATTTATTTATTCATACATTCTAAAGTCATCGTATTAAAACTTTTGATTTCATAACACTGCACTTAAAAATTTATTTGTGCACATACACTCATTATTTCCTCCATTCCATTCATTCCATATTCTTCTATCTTTACTGGGAATCCCATCTCCCACTACCTCCTTCAGGACCTCATACATAGATTCTTCCCCTATTCTCATGTCACAGTTTTCTCCTCTTCATAATTTAAATAAGTTCTAATCTCTCCTGTCTTAAAATAATGTCTTTCCATTCCAATACATGCTACAACGTGGATGAACCTGGAGGACATTTGTCACCAAAAGACAAATACTGTGTGATTCCACCTATATGAGGTATCCAGGTAGTCAAATCATAGAAACAAAAAGTAGAATGGTAGTGGCCAAGGACTTGGGGGAGGGGGAAATGAAGTGTTGTTTAACATTAATGTTTAATGTTTAATCAGTTTCGCAAGATGAAAAAATACAGGAGATTGGTTACACAAAAATGTGAATGTTCAGCTTAATGCTACTGAACTGCACACTTAATAGTGATTAAGATGGAGGGTGCCTGGGTGGCTCAAAAAAAATGATTAAGATGGTAAACTTTGTTATGCATATTTTACC